CCCACTAAAAATCCATAATTAAGCAATTATTCACATAATTAAAAATTATCTCAAATTACTTAAAATACTAATCACTTTTAACATAGTTTGTATACCTTACTATCATGGTGATGTGGTACCTTGTATGGTACTAGTCCATAAATACAGGGAATTATAGCTTGGACCATATTTTATCCCAAATTGACTAACTTCAACGAATACTCATTCTTTGATTTGTTTACCCTCTAATCTTCACGACACTCACTTATCACTTGTTAAAAATAACATAAATACTTATAACCTCAAAAATAATCTCATTCTCGAGCTTACATCGATTAACTTACGGTGAAACTTTAACGTACGAAATGCGGGATGTAACAGAATCACAACCCAAATTCAAGCCTAAACAATTATGAACTTCCGAATTTCGAAACCAACGCCTATTCATACCAAAACAACTCTGATTGACCTCAAATTTTACACACAAGTCATATAATATTACGGACCTATTCCAACTTTCGGAATCGGTGATCCGACCCTGATATCAATAAAGTCCACTCCGGGTCAAACTTTCCAAATTTTTCCAATTTTTAACTTTCGCCAAATCACGCCGAAACGACCTACGAACCTCCAAATCAACATCCAAACACACTCCTAAGATCAAAATCACCATACGGAACTATCAGAACTATCAAAACTCCATTCCAGAGTCATTTTCACGCAAGTCAAACTACGGTCAACTCCTATGACTTAACCTTCCAACTTAGGGACTATGTGTCCTATTTCACTCCGAAACCCACCCGAAACCAAAACCAAACACTCCGACAAGTTACATAACCATAATACAGCATAGTGAAAGTATTATTTTGGGTATCGGGGCTAAAATACTCAAAACGAACGGTCGGGTCATTATATTTAACTAACCAAAGAACCTTAATGACTCTCTACACTTATTCTAACTTTAGACTTCCCTGATAATCTATTATGGCCTTCATGTCTGCTATACTGATTTTGCCTCAATGTTACTTGTTGATCTATATGATACACTTGAGGTTGTTTGTGTGACAGACTAAACTAGAGTAGTTATGAATACATAAGGATTAAGTGCACGGCTGTCATTGTAGTTAAAATATATCAGCTTATGTTGTTTGAGTTTTCTTCTTTCTTTAAATGTGTTTATGTGATTCTGAGACCTCTTGAAAGATCATTGTAAAGGCCTTTTGATAACCTTCGTGACTTTTGATCATATCTATGAGTTTCACTGTATAAAATAATGCCCTAAAGTAACTAGACTAAGTTCTAATGAGTTTATGTAGTTAGTCGTGTGTGTATCCTGTTAGATGATATCCACCTAGCCTAAGTTATGCCCAGAAATTTGACTAAAATTGTGTCTGTTATGTTTGAGTTTCATCAGTTGGATTGGTTATGCTAAGCTGAACTTCATCATGACTAAGTTATCACACTTAACCTATATAACTGAACCATACCTACTTAATATGAAACTTTCATTCTTCTGAACTTTCTGTAATGAGGTTGTTGGTCTGATACTGTGCTATTTGATACTCTACCATGTTGTAGCCTTGCACTCTTTAAGAATATCTTTTGTATGTGCCTGATTATCTCCTTTTTGGTTTTCTGCACTCATTCCTGTTTCTTAAACAAACTTCTTGTTTATCCTTCATACCTATGCTTGTGCTCTCATGCTGTATTGTTATATAAAGGAAACTGAACCTTACAAAGATTATATAAGTTAACTGTGACTCACATGTGAACTTAAGACAAGTTTCCTGATGTTTGTCTGCCTTGCTCAAGTATTACATGGTGTTTATACGAGTGCCTTAACTCTTAATGAGTCTAGTATGAATATGAGGCTATGTAATTTTAAGAGAAAGTAATCATGTCATTTGCTTAAGTTATAGTAAACTAGCTTTCTTGGATAGACACCCCGTTAGTACTCTTTAGGAATCCTAAATACGGTTGTTAACTCGGAAGTTAGGATTTGATCTATATGTGTGAATCTCTGCTAAGTTAGAATCTAGTTTGATAAGCTGTTTAAGTACTGCAAACTCAATTAAGGACTCATGTAAACCTGGACTATGTATCTTCTCTACTCCCTAAGTCACATGACTTAATGTTTGGACTTCTAAAATAATTTGCTGGTGTTCCCTCTCTTTGTTTGTACCTATAATTGGTTTCTTTGAGTATTCTTGAGCATGTTGAATATGTTAACTGTGTACCACACACTTGTGTTAGGATTGTGGTCTCAATGGTATAATTTGTTGTTATAATTAGGAGGTTGTTTGAGCATTTAGGAATGTCACCCTTATTTGATATTCTACATCGTGTGATAGAGCTTGATTGTAAGACTATCCTCTTTATAACTTGTGCGTTGTTCTAATCTTTCAGTACATGGAACCTAAGAAGAAGGCAAGGAGTCGCCAAAGGCCCAATGCCACCCCAAGGGTGGCTGTTGATACTATACTTGATGTTGCGGGTGAGCACCCGAGGGGTGGGGATATTCCCCCAACCACACTCACAATAGTATTTTGATTGTTATATTGAAAGTTACAGTGAAGGCCTCATTGGCATTTAAGACGATAGGGAAGAGCAAGTGTGAATGATTAAGGGTATTTAGGAGTAAGATTTAGTTTGTCAATGAGATACCCTCCCGGACACAAGCACTTCTCGGGGTCCCTGAGACCCTTGTAAACTCTGAAGTGATAGGGATCCAAAGGATGTCTTGTCCATGGATGGAATTTTACCTTAAGCTCTTAATCATTGACATTTGTTAATCTATTTAGGATTAGTGCTAAATGAAATAAAGGCTTCACTGTACATTTGTTTGCTCTATTTTGACCTTACATTAATTTTATTGCCTTCTTAATGACCAGCACTTGTTACAGTTACTTTGGGCCTTATATTGGTATTATTTGTATTTAAGTATTATATTGGGCTCTATCACTAATGTCTTTTTTTTTCCACATATGATTGAACTGAGCCTGTTGAGTTCTCAAGAACTCAAGCCCAAGTTCCAACCTTGAGTCTGAAGTCATTGAAGCTGCCGCAACTGATCGCCACCCGCTGGGCCTAACATTCTTCAGGCCCAAACTATGAGTCCAATTCCCTTTCCTTTATCGCTTTATATAAATTTGATGTTGCTTTTATGTGTATATTGTTGCACCCTATTTTGAACAAGACAAAACAAACTACAACTTATAGTACTCTACAAAGTTAACTAAAGTTTAGAGTCGCCACCTAATGTTTAAGGTACACTAGGACACTTATATTACACTATATAATGTACACTTCGACTATGATCTACGAAATTGTTGAGATTTTGAGTAAGGGTTCAAGTTATCTCGAGGGAAAAGTGTTAGGTAACCCTCAAGATCAACAAAATGTGATTCATACAGACTCGATCAAATAAGGGAGGGAAGGTTCAAAAGAATGATTAACATCTACTAGAATGAACAGTGATGATGTTAAATATGTAATGAATTATGTGCGGATGAAGTATGCAAATATTTTTGGTATTTTTGAAATGAAAAGATTAAAATATATTGACTCTTATGAAATATATGTAAAGTAGACAAGGGAATCGTATTCCAAAAGATAAACCAAGTATAAAGTGAGTTCTAGAAAAGAATAGCAAAATATTTGACAAAAATATATGTGCAACAAAATGTAATATGTGAAGGTATAAAAAGGATATTAAAGAATGATATTTTAGTGTAACTTGAATAATATGAAAGGAATCGCACTTAAAGAATGCATGTTATGTGTAAGGGTAAATTATTTTGAGTGAGAGGCTAAAGTGTAAGGAAAAGAAAACTTACCTTTAAAGTGATTCGCTAATAGGAGGAGATAATTATTTTGAATACTTTTTTTATGTAATGAATAGTGTAAGAAAGGAATTAACTTAATATTTCACAAAAATACATTGAAGAAGGGACAGTTAATTGACACAAGCGAATAATAAAATATTTATATTTACGTGCATGTGTAGTAAAAGTAAATGAATAAAATATATGAAATAATCTATATTTTTGAAAATCAGTGCACAAGACACAAAGAGAAGAATTTGATTTTTTTTTTTGAGTAGGTTATGTAAGAAAGGAACAATATATGATTCGACTAAAATACAAAATTAATAAAAGGATCATTAACAATTCAAGACAAGATTAAGGATGCACAAATACTATATCTTGCACTTTAACTTAATGAATAGAATATGAAAGAATTTGTTTAATATGAATGAACAACTATAAGAGGTTGTCAAAGAAAGGAAAAATGTAAGATAACATGTAGCGATGAATGGAATATTTGCAAATTGAACAAATGAATATCAATTAGAAAATACACTTTAAAAGAATTTAATTTATGTACAAAAGATTAACCATTTGAGTGAAAAACTAAATGCAAAATAGAATTTACTCTAAATGATTAGCACAAGGTAGAAAAGAACAATCTTTGAACAACCTTAGTATACAATGAAAAAAGTAGAAGAATTAATTTGATGAATAAAAAGTGAATGTCGTATAAGAAATAAAATTATCCCATCATTACAAAGAAATATTTACACAAAAATGAGTTATCATTCAATGGGTAATTAAAGATAATTTTGTAGAGTTATGGTCTTGGAACACAAATTATGTGAGCCAAACCCGAATGACTACAAGACCTAAGGTTTTCAAAGAATAGTATGATAGTCCAACTACAATTCTCTACTTAAATGCGTCAATTAAAGAACATTTTTTATACATAAAGTGATTCGAAATGTATTCATATAATATAAAGACAAAGACAGAATTACTTATTTTTATTTTTTTCGCAATTAGATGACATGTTTTAATTTTTATGGATATGACTAATCTAATTAGTTAAGTATACACCAGTCGTAAATTAATTAACCACATCATAAAATATATTAAATATTATTTTTAGCAAATCCACTAGGCAAGGTGCCTAGGGCTAGTTTTTATATATATAAAACTCAAAATAAAACAAAGTGCAAGGAGGTCTTACAAGATGAAAGAAATATACTTTGACGAATATATACTTTCTATTATCAATGTTGGGAAATGTGCTCAACACTGATATCACAAAAAGTAGGCTAATAAAGCAGTGAAACTGTTTTATAAAAACTAGCCATGCTAAATCTTCACAATTGAAGCCCATATGTAGCCTTCTTTTGTTGCAATTTTGACTATCTTCCCTTTGCTGTATCAACGGTGAACTTAATGAAACCAGTAATGAATCTTTCAAATTGATTTGCAAACCTGCATCTGCATCTTCCTCAATTGTGTAACTCCTACGATCATCCATATAATCTGTAGCAACTTCTATTGTAAAGCCTACTGTCTTGGAACGCCCTTGTCTTTCCAGAAAAATATCGTGACTATCTTTACCTCTGCCCATCTTATCCCTTGGTATTATTTGATTGTCATGATGACTAGTATCCAGTAATGCAACTGCATTCTCACAATTTCTTGGACAGTTATACTTGCTTCTCAATGAGACTAAGTTTCAGCATTTTCGAGCATGTGGGAGCATACACTGTTTGAGCAGGTAGTCGTGTGATCTCCAGTAGGCATCTGTTGATGTCAATTGTTGGCACCATTCTTGGGATGTAGAGTTACTGATATTCATTAGGGTGATGTTCCACGATGCATCCAGTGCTCCCAATTTTATGTTCCAAAAGCCCAAGTCATGTAGTAAATCGATCAAGCTTCTGGGCAGCTTTCTCTTGCATATCCCATATTTAAACGTGTGATCGCGTGATCTCCAATAGTAATCTGTGGTAACCATTGATTGGAACCATTCTTGGGATGTATAACTAATGAGGTGTATTGGTTTTTTGCAACACAATGCACCCATTGTTCCCATATTCGACTGCCAAAATCTTATGTCGATTAACTTTCTGGGCAGAATTTTACATGTTTCCATGCTTATGCCTACTATTAATACTACTTTTTAAAGGGAATGAGCATCAACTGCTAATACCACCCTTTGAATTTATAGCAGATAGTAGGACATGGATATAGTAAAGATCCCTGCAAAAAAGAACACAGAGTTAGTATAAAAAAGATCATCATCTCCTCCTCCCTAAGGACTTGAGTATGATGATTAGCAGCAACATATTATTCTGCACAGCTATTCGCCTGGCTCCCTGTATGTGGTATCAATGCTATTGGGTGCATTATCTTTCTCCACAACACACCCCTTGATCCTATTAACTCCAAACTCTATTCAATCCTCATTGCTTCAAGTAACCATACTTCTCCAGTTGTTTTCAGCCTGCTACTCCACCTTGTTATCTCCTCTCCTCCTAATTTCTTGCTACTTTTACTCTTAGATACGAGCATTGTAATTTGTCATTATTTACTATACTCCTCCCTTAATTCTCTAGCTCCAAAAATAGTAAGCCTGAATAGATCCAACATCTAATGCATAATTAGCTAGATGATCAGCCAATCTATTTCCTTCCCTTAATGTATGAGCAACCGTTACGTTGATCCTTGCCATCATTTCATTAATCTCCTCTACCTGTGCAGTAATGGCCCATGGCACACTCCATTCTCCAGTTATCACATTTTTGAGCATCATTGAATCAGCGTGAAGCTCAATAAGCACATAGGCATTTTCCACACAAAACCTCAAGGCTTCCAAAATTGCCTTTGCTTTAGCTTTAGTATTTGTTCTTTCCTGTACCTCCTTTCCACATCCATATATTACATCGCCCTCCTCATTTCGTAGCACAAAACTAATGGAACTTCTTCCAGGATTTCCCCTATAAGCCACATCTGTATTAACCTTGATCCACCCTGGACTTGGATATTCCCACATCACCTTACTAACCTTCAGTTTAGGTATATAGGCCTCCATTATATTCAACAGTTCTGGCTATTTTTGTGGCACATTCTGCAGGCCTGTCTTTCTAACTCTGACTAAGGATTGCATGGTCGTGGAAACTTGATAGATAACTCTACTTATAGATACTGCATCTCCATATTTGTAGCTATTTCTTCTCTTTCATAACTCCCACACAATAACAGCTAGTAAAGCTTGCAGAATAGGCTGCAATCTAGGAATCACATCAACAGTCTAGCACCTAAGTCACATCCTGATGAAATGTAATCCCATCCAATGCAATACCTGCATGCCCAAGAAAATAATTTCACTCTATTAGCAGCATATAATGTAAAGAAGAGATGCTGCCTTGTCTCCTCCTTTGGTTCAGTACAACACCATCATTTAGAAGCCATTAGGTATCCCACTCTTCTGAAAAAATCATCAAAAGGCAGCTTATTTCTCCATACTTTCCACATTCCACATGAAGAAAGCAATCTTGCAAGGCAAACCTTTCACCCATATTTTCTTGTAAGCATTGGCAGGTTCATTTCTTCTTCTCAAGTATTCCCATGCTGACTTTACACTGAACTCTCCTTTTGTTTCCAGTATCCATTGAGGCTTGTCTAGAATTCAACATCCTATACACACTTGAAGAATTATTTGACACACAATATTGCAAGTTACTCTGATTATTAATAATATGCAATTCCCCAAGTGTTTAGCAAATAAACATTATCAAAGCAAGCAAGAAAACACAAACTCGATCTACAATTTTTGCTATACATTACGTTTTGGTACATCCAAGAATGGGAAGCATGAAGCGGGAATTTGACATGGTAGGTTTCATCTCCGAGTGTCATCTTTCGAAAGCTGCTCCACGTAATAATACCTTGCAAGACAAGAGAAGTAAAATTGTTAGTAAAAAAATATAAGGTAAAATAAATTAAACGACATATTTTGAAATGGTTTTTGATTTTAAAATATTTTTGGAAGATTTCTTTTAAAAGTGTTTTTGGAAAATATTTTCAAAAGACTTTAGGAAAATAGTTAAAAATAATATAGGAAGATACTCTTTGAATAAATTGAAAATGTTTTAGTTTTTGAAAGATTGTTTGGAAAAAATATTTTTTGGGAAATTATTTTTGGAAAATAGTTTTAAAAATGATATAAGAGGCTCAGATATGTGTAATATCTATCTAGACATGAGGACATGAACCACCTTGGTTGCGACTACGATAGCTAATTGTGTCGCCTTTCGAAGGTTTTATTGATTCATCGGATCCTCATCTTTTATTTTTCAATCCTTGTCTTTTATTGTCAGATGTTTATAATCATCACCTCGTTATTTCAGGCCCAATATGAGGGTCATTCAGGGCGTCGTGGCCTCAAAATATTGTTCTCATCAGCTTTAGTGTAAATTTTGTTCAATACCAACCTCATGCTCAATTGACATAGACGGGCAATAACAATACCAAAAACGTTTCCCAAGCAAACAGATCCGCCTGCAAACTTCAAATTATAGCAATAGCGAAAAGAGGTGCACCGGAAATATGACATTACCACATAGTCAAGGCGGAAGAATTTATATGCCAAAGTACCATTTTAATCAGCTGTGCAAATTTGTGAAGGAAGCAAGTAAACCATGGGTCAACAATCAACAGCGAAGGCCTCAAACACATACGAAGGTTAAACTAAACTTCTAAGCAGCAAAAGCATCTCTTAATTTAGGGAACAAATAGTGACAAATAAAAGTCACAGTACCAGCATCGGTAGAAATCCGAGAATAATCAAACCCCAAAATTATTTTGTGCCTGTTTTATTACCATCGTTTGGGTCTCATGATTTAAATCAGTAGAAAAATTAAAGAATGAAGTGAAACCATGACAAAATATGAGGGCTGCTGGGTATGCTTTGTCCAGTCAAAATCAAAGCATAACAGGGGGTCGCCGGAATTCTATTGTTTCCGGCCAAGCAAGGCAATACAGTGAATTTTAAAAGAAAACCCCAAAATCATCACAAAAGTTAGAACATCAGTAATAAACAACAGTCATAACAACGACTTAAAAATGGAAGTGCGATGAGTTAAAATAGAGGTAGCAAAAAGCAGTCTCGAACAGTCGCAAATGACCCACTGACGATGAACTCCGGTGAGGTCGAGAAAGAGATGAAATGAAGGTTCGACGTTCAATGCCAGATCTGTGGCGTTTGAACAACAGCGAATCCGGTTGTGCCTAGGCGGCGACGCCTGGCGACTCTAAAGAAAAATGAACGACCTTGTCTCACCGGAGTCACCTTCTCCGGTAGCTTGCAGGTCAGCGATGATGGCTAAGAAGAGAAACAGTAGCCCTTTCCATTTGAGAGTGAAGATAAAAGAGAGAGCCGATGGGTTTCCTCTACGAGACAGCTGAGGGCTCTCCAAAAATGAGAGAGAGAGAGAGAGAGAGAGAGAGATTAAAAGGGGAGGCCGTGGGAGATGGGGACTGCCGTGTCTCTCATTTGAGAGAGATGAGAGAACAACATTTGGGGTTGGGCGGCAGTTTTCAGAAAATGAGGGAGTAGGTTGATTTTTAGGGGTTTTGACCTTTTATATTAAGAATTCCATTTCTATAAATGTGATAATGTATGTATCTTTAATATCAAATACATGTAAGAATAAAGGTGTGGCTCTTATTTTAAGCAAAACACTAGAAAAATAAAAATGTGGTCAAGAATGAAAGAAAGTCATGTCATGTCGCGTCAATGTTTTGTCGCGTCAATGTCTCGTCACGTCAAATGTTTACGGGATATTAATTTGACTGAACTAGATTCGTATTTTAAAATAAATTATACTGACTTCCGTGTAATTAATAGGTTATGCCATATAAGAAGAATATTTATTCAATCAAGAAATCGTATAGTATTTATTTAAAATTGTAACTACTATAATTGTGTTGTAGTAATTATTATTTTATTTTTTGGAAAGACAATAAATTGATAGAATATCCTAATATTTGAAAAATAGTATAATTATTAATAAATTGTTTGACCCGACATGATAGACGAGGACGAAAAGGTTCGTGTGATCTCGATATTGTTTATAAAATTTCCCCAGTATTGGACTGTGGTAATACTGGGACGTGGATGTTGGATGATGGATGGATTGATTTGAATGGATTTCGATGTGAATGGGACCGGGCTCTGTGTTGAGTTTTCCTACATATCTCGGATGTAACAAGAATCAGGCCGGTTGTAGTTCGAGAAGCGATGGGATGATTTGAATTTTTAATTTTGAAAGTTTCCCCAGCATCAAGTTGTGATGACACTGGGTGTTTTATTTTAACAATGGGGGTTCGGATTGCCTACACACCCCATGTCAAATAGGAAATAAGAATGATACTTGGGACATGTCGTCGATTGCTGTTGGAAAGTTCGACGTCCGTCCTCAAAATCTGTCCCAATTTATTTGCTAGAAGTAATCCCACGTTGTGTCGCGTCTCTGATCAGTAGAGTTGACAAAGTGTGGACTATGCTTCTGTTTGGCTTGAGAAGATGGATATATGATTTTTTGAATGAAATAGGGTCCTAAGTTGGAACTCTAATTCGAAAGAGATCCGGGCTAGATACCGGTCCGAAGTGATCAGAGCACTTTGATTTTTGAAGAAAATCTGGGCTGAGTACCGGTCCGAAGTGATATCGGAGCATTTAAATCAAAGATACCCGTATTGGAAGGTGGGCGCCTGTAAAATTTGAACTTGAAATGAAATGTCCATTGTTCAGGAGGGCGGCTGGAGATTGTGACTTAGAAATGAAATGCCCATTGTTCGGGACGGCGCCTGAAAATTGTGACTTAGAAATTAAATGCCCATTGTCTAGGAGGACGCTTGGAAGATTGACTTTGAAATGAAATGNTATATAAAATTGATAGAAATGGTTCTGTTATTAATGATTCATGTAGGTAATAGATGCACAATCATAGAATTTTGAAATGATATGGTCAAGTCTGACTCAGACTGCCTATGTATCCCAATAGAATCAGGCCAAGACGTAGTTCGATGACAAAGGATGACTGAATCCGATGTGGATTGCCTACGTATTCCTACCAAAGGAAATCAAGTCGCAACGTAGTTCCGAATATATAGGAATAATTTTTGGTTTTCTATTACAAAAGTGGGACCGGATCCTACGTGGATTGCCTACGTATCCCACCATGGGATGTCAGGTCGGAATGTAGTTCTGTTATGACAAAACCTAACTCTACCGTCAACAAATTTGACTCTTTTGTTTTCTGCATTTTCCGCTGTTTTGGTAGCTTTTTGTATAGAATATTTAAAAATTTGAACAATAGAGAAAGACTGTGATTTATTTATCAATCATCATCTCTTTTTTTGACATGACTTTGGTTGGTACCAACAATTAGTTTTGTGCATAAGAATTTCCATCATATACTTTCCGGCAAATCGAGATCAGCTTATTGGTAATTCTTATAGCTTCGAGTGGTATCTCAGATATACCTAGGTTCAACAAGATTTGTTCGTCTTTCTTCAATCAAAGGTTTAAATTCTGCCTAGCTCATGTTTCAAGTGCCTCACTACGAAGAAAGTCCTAATTTTCACACATATTTGATGTATTTATGTTATTTTTTAAAGGACATTTTGCGAAGCAAACTCACATTCGGAATGACATTCAATGCATGGGATTGAGATACCATATGCTTGACATTTACTAATGTGAGAACACTTGAAATAGGATCATGTAGGGCTTTATCATTGGCTTGTCATGTAGGCTTAGGGTCGGGTAGGATATTTATTTGGGTTGAAAGTGACTAATTCATCCATAAGCAGTGCACTATATTCATGTCTTCGGAGCTCAAACCATGCTTTGGCGCTTGATCTTGTTTGGCTCGATGTCCCTTTTTTTGCTTTGACTTCCTTTGAACTGGTAGGAGGTTCTTATTCCATTTTGATTTTTTTTTTTGTCTTTTCTTTTCTTTTGAGGTTTCTCTTGCTTTGCAAGAGCTTTTTCCTTCTTTTGTTTTCATCAGTGTTCCTCCCCTTTGAATTTGTGAAGTTTTTTCCTTTTACTCCCTTTTTTTTCCTTTGAATTTGTGGAAGTTTTCTCTTTTTGGTTGGATCCCCATTTTCAATAGTGGAGTTTCTGCCTTATTTTCCTAAAGTCATGTCTCTGATTGTCTTGGACTTTGCATCTTTCGCCTTTTCATGTTTGTCGCCTTCACTCGTTTTCAGTGCGCGCAAGGAGGTTCGGCCAAGAGAGGGGTAGTGCATTTAAGCATAAAAAGGGTATGGGTTAAGATGTGATTATCCAAAAAAAATTCTTAAGGCTCAAATGGGATTATGCTAGGGATTAATATCATTTAGTAGGCTAGAAAGGCTCAAACGGGTCAAAGAAGGCCTACGGTCCTTTCCTAAACCAAGAGTTACTCAGGATTTTGCTTCAACAGACATTCGGGAAAAGTTCTAGATCTACAATGCAATGCAATGAATTTTAATCTAAAGCTCACCACACAATGCACAAGAAACAATGAGGTCGGCTTTGTTCTTACCCTAACTGTAAGCACGTGATTTTTCAAGCATCACTAAGGTATAATTGAGATGTACCAAAAGAGTCTATGGTTTACCCGAAGTTGATCCTCTCCATCATACTACTTAAATACGTGTTCTTCCCATGCACACTCCTAACTACGTTGGTAGCAAGCAAGTCAATATTTGATGATTTTTTTGTTTTTGATAAATGAGACCAAACCCGAGGAAGGATTCCCTTTTTTTTTTTTGGATTTTTGGATTTTGACTTAACAACAAATTATTTTTGTTTTTCTCTATTTTTTTTACCTAATCAAATGTTTTGTGGTTTTTTGTAAAATATTAGATCGAACCCTAAGGTTGCCTACGTATCTCGTTGAAACGAGAATCAGGTCAAGCGTAGTTCCGGAAGCGTGTGAAGAAAATATTTTTAGATTTTTATTTCAATAAAAAAAAAATTAATTTTTGAATTAATCAATTTTTGTGATTTTTGATAAAGAGAACTGAATGTAAAACGGGCTTTGTAATTACCGCTGCGATGCGATATCGGAGCAATGAAAGTTAGTCGGGCTTTGTAGTTACTGTTCCAAAGTGATATCAGAGCATTGAAGGTTAGACGGGCTTTGTATTTATCGTTCCGAAGCGATGTCAGAGCATTGAATGTTAGACGGGCTTTGTAGTTACCGTTCCATATAGGAGCATTGAAAGAAAAGTAAAATGACGGGCTGTGTATCATTCCGTATAAGAGTATTGACAAAAAAGTAAAATGATGGGTTGTGTACCGTACTGTACATGAGCATTGACAGAAAAGTAAAATGACGGGTTGTGTACCGTTCCGTATAGGAGCATTGACAGGAAAGTAGAATGACGGGCTGTGTACCATTCCGTATAGGAGCATTGTTAGTACGGGGCAGAGTACCGTTCTGTTTAGGAGCGCTGACAAGAAAGTAAAATGACGGGCTGTGTACCGTTCCGTCTTGGAGAATTGAAAGGAAGGTAAAATCTCCAAGCGATGGGAGGGACAAGAAAGTAAATCTTCGCACAATGGGAGCGATAGGAATTGAAATCTCTGCACAATGGAAGTATTTTTTTGATTTTTTCAAAAATAAAATCAAACCCGGGGAGGGTCCTTGATTGATGATTTTTTATTTTATTTTTAAAAAAAAATTAGATCGAACCCGTGATGGGTCCTTGATTGATTTTTTATTATTATTATTTTTTTGGAAAATGTGATCGAACCCGAGAAGAGTCTTTGATTGATGATTTGTTTTGATTTTTTTAAGAAATGAGATCGAACCCGGGAAGGGTCCTTAATTGATTTTTTTGAAAAATGTGACCGAACCCGCAAGTTGCTTACGTATCTCGTCGAAACGAGAATCCGGTCAGGCGTAGTTCAGGAAGATTAGAGATAAAGGGTAGATGCTTTGGATTTTGAGTTCCCTCGAGGAGAGAAGATGATATTTTTTGGATTTTGATGTTGATGTCTCACGAGGAGACTTCTGGAGATGAAACTGAGGAAGATATATATATATATATATATA